TTTGTTACAACACACAGTGAAGAGGTTTAGAGACCTGATCAAGGTTAAAACTAACCCAGCAAAACCTTAAGCTCTGACCACGTTGCAGCTGGTTCTGTTGCTCTCCTCTATCCATCTGTATTTGTTCGCTGCTTCCACTTATATTTTGTGAAGCTCCTGGGGAGCAGGTAGTCTCTGTTCTGCATCTCTGAGGAATCCCTCTTATCCCCCAAGCCAACTTGCTAGAATTGTGGGTCCTACACTGAAAAAATACAGCATGCGAGAAGACGATGCATCTAATGTAAGAACTCAGGAATCTGAGGTTTTGATGACACGATCTCTGCATAATATATGGGAAATAAAAGGTCAGTGGTAGCTGCTGACAGTATTACAGCATGCTGGGAATAAAGCATTGCTACTATCAATAGCTACGCTTAGCTCACTAGAGTTAGCAGACAGTCTGATCTCACCCAGACTGCACAACTTGGACATTCGAGCTGCAAACTGCATGCATCTTCAACCTTTTTTTTTTTTTTCCCAAGCAGGGAAACGGTACTGCTAGAAAATATATGGGTTGAGGGCATCAGTGCTATTGCTGAGGCAGAACAATAATAACTTCAGTCATGATTTATATAGCTAATTTCAGGATAAAACCCTATCTATTTTTAAAAAGAGGAAAAGACCACAAAAGTACCTGATTTTGTATTCGACAGTGATTACAGTTTATACTGCCCAATGTTTCAACTCAGTAAGCATGCAAATAGAATATTTTATTAAAGTAACAGACAAAAGGGATCTTTTCTTCTTTATGTGCCTCTCCACTACAACAGATTTTATCAGGCTGCAGCCAGACTCACTGGCTTCCCTCTCACCTGAAGTGCCTGTCTGATTTTAAGAGAATTATTTCCCAAACCAAATACTCATTCCTCTCGTGTATAGGCTCTATTTCCAGTTTATTGTTCATCTGTTCTGTTTTAAGCTACCAAAATGATCTTTTGGTCATCTAAAAGCTTTCAGAGTGAAAAGCCCAGAAAAGAAACATATACATCATCCATATTAGATGATAAGCCTGGGATTTGTTTCTATAGTGGCAACTAAAGCATGGTTTTCTATGGCATCTGAAGTCAACCCAGTACTGTCTACTAAAGGAGAGTGCTCCATATGGAGATACACAGTCTTAACACCACATTTGACCATGGTTACATCTAAATCAAAGCAATTCCTTCCATTATCACTGCTCATGTTTACCAGCGGGTATATTGAAGCGCAGAGGGTTTGACCAAGAAATCCACAAAAATCCCAATTCCAACTCACATCATGTGCTTTTCAGGAGGCATCAGTCAGGGCAGTTGTGTCACGTTCTTCTCCTGCTGCCAAATGATGGGCAGGGACTTGCAGAGGAGCTCGGCACAAGGAGGAAAGGGATGTTCTCCACAGAGGAGCAGCAACACGGTACAAACAGCAGCAAGCAGTCTAGCAGAGTCGACATAAGTCTCAGCAGGGAGGAAAACACAGCCAAAGCTGCTGGAGCAATAACCCCCATTTCCCTCACCCTTCCACAGGGTTCACAGCCTGACCTTGCTTCAAAAGCCATCGCCACAGTCCTTCAGCTCACTCCTCTGATTTGGCAATACAGCATGTAAAACTGGGAGCAGGGGGAGATGCTCTTTTAAATGGAGATCTCGGGTTCAGGGTTCCCTACAGAGCCCTGAAGCTGTGGGTATGTGACTGTGGCTATCTACCCTGCAGTACAGCTGAGGGAGCCAGATGAGGGCCAGGCTGCCATCTCACTCAGCACTGGACATACAGAAGTGACACACACCCCCACCCCCCACCCCAAAAAAAAGCCCCTGGTTTGAGGACCAGAGGTCCCCAGCAGGTAGAGCCACATCGGGAACAAAAGGCAGTAAGACCATTTCAGTATGCTGCCTCATCAGCTCACGTAATTCATGCCACGTGTTGGTAGACCTCTACGGGACTTTTATCTTCCTTCCTATTTTTCTGTAAAAGGGAACTATTCTAAAATTGGAGAAAGTGAGAGAAAATACAGAGGTACCTTGGAGTATCTTACCTGTGCACAATATAGCACCGTGGGCAGAGGTGAGCCAACAGTCAAGATATTACTAACAAATGAGAAGGCATATGTAAACTGGAGGCAGGTTAGAAAGGACCTTAAGATAGCCATCCTATTTCTGTGGAGAATGCAAAGGAGGAACCGGCACAGACATTTGGAGACGCCGATCTAGTTGGAGCATCTGATTAGGAAAACCCACTTCTAAGAGACATTCTCAATAGACGGATGTGAGTGGGCAAGATGCTTTTGTCAAGGACAGAGGAAAATGTTTCCTTGAGCAAGGTGGGAAAGAACAAGACCTTATGAAAAGGTGTTTCACAGCTGTATGGATGGTCATATAAGAGAAAATAAAACCAGAAAATTGAAATTGAAAAAATAATCATAATTTCAAAATCTCAACACTGAAGAAATTTAGACCTGCAGTCAAAATCACATTGCTAAAGCAAGTCACGCTAGCTTGCAAGCTATTCTGCATACAGAGAAGGGGTGAATTGAAACATATATGTTTAGTAATAATGGTAAAATAAATCAATTTACTTCCTCCTTTTATATCTCAAATATTAAGTACCAATAATTACTCTCAACCATTTCATCAACTGCTTATCTCATCAAGTTTTAAACTATAAATATATGTACACACATAAACAGACACATATACAGCATTAAGTTCCATCAAATCAACAAATAAAACAAGAATGTATACACAGGAGCAGCACTTCTGCCTAAATACTGTACAAAACTGTTGGGCACGCAATATTAGGAAGTCTTGGCTCTTTTACCATTGATTAAATCACTGAATAAGTAATTGAAACAATTTTCAAAACTGAAAATCCTCTTAGCATGCGAATGAGCCAAGGCAGGGCTGGGACAGCTTTCTAAATTGGCCCACTACACCGGTCACTGAATTAATGTTCAGTGTTTTGCATTGCTCTTTATTCCTACTAAGGACAAACAGGAATGGCCAAGTCAGTGTGCCCAATCCACCTCTTTTTTTTTTCTTTTTATAATACTACTACTCAAGAAAATCAGCTTTGACTCTTCTTTTATTAAATTTATAGCCCACGTGACAAATTATACTATTTAAAAGTTAGAGTGCTTTTACCATAGACTAAATGAAATTATTGAACAAGACTAGCTGAAACCGATGGAGAAGAAATACCTTTGTCTCCATCATAAAACATTAAATAGGACTGTTTTACTATATGGACTATGAAAGTGGACACTAACCAATCTATTTGCTCTGGTTTCTTTTTTTAGGAGTTCAGAAATAACGTATTTCAGGACTCCCAGTATTTCTTTTAATTTTATATGCCATTTTTTCACATGTATTTATGGCTGAAAGATCAATTAGAATTCCTTTGTGGGAAGTCATTCCCATCAGTTCAATTACTCCCTGTAATTGTTTCAGCAATCATAGTTGAATATCCATTTTAATTTTTATTTAGAGACTCAATTACCAAGCATCAAGCAGATGTAAACACTTTTAAAATTTTATCTTCTCTTCCTCCTACGCCTTCTTCCCCAGTACAAATACCATTTTACCCCTCAGCATTCTATAAATCATAAAAACGCGCATGTAGTTATATAAAACCTCCACATTACTCTTAGTGCTGACTAATGCTTCTTTCCAAAAACACCACGGACGAGGAGCCCGTTGTGGTTTGTTAGACGTGAGTGTGGGGATAGACATTCCTATCCACTTCCATCCCACATGCCCTACAGCTCTGAAAGCCTTCACAGATTTATCTGCACCTTATCCCCTCTCTGCCTTTCAGGTAGAAAGGAATCCCAGTTACTGATTTATCAGGAAGAATTCCATTTCATGGTGCTTTTACATATGTATTTTAATCAGTGGCTGATCCATTTGGAGCTGGTGTTGTCATCCTTCCCTAGAGCCTCTCACAGATAGCCCCTTTCATTCAAATGCTGCTGGTAGGTATTGTAATTCAATTCTATTCTTGCATGTAATTCACTAAAGTTCAGCGAGATGCTTGTCAAGCAAGTCAATATTTTACACTGCAACTTGAATCCATTTTTTGCAGTGTATCAAAATGCAAATTTATTTTTTCCCTCCTAAGAGTCACAATCGAAGTAGAACCAGCCTGGAAATGGGAACACCTAAACGAAATGGCAAACCAGTGGTTGCAAGAATGAGCAACGTATCTCCTGAAGTCCAGAGATAGCAAAAGTCGTCAGAACATTTAGTTACAAGTGTATTAAAACTCCCCGAGGAGAAAGAAAATGAAGAGTTGGTTAAACATTTATAGGTACCTATGAGTTTCAGTTGCTGCATGCATAGCACGATACAGTTTCCTCCCAAAGCGATACCCACTCCGCTCTCAACTCTTTGTATTATCACCAAGAACTATTTAATCTAAGTGAATAAAAGGCTCATCGTGTCTTCCCCACTGACTGCTTCAGAAAAAAACATTAACAGTGATCTTTGCCCAACCTAGGAAAACACGAGCCCTGCCACGGGGATTGTAGTTGCAGCTATGGGAAACATGCACAGCCACTGTTTTACAGCACAACTCAGGTAAAACCAGTTAAAATTCCCAGTATGGCTTTGTAGTATTTATAGAGCCGTGCTATAAATCAGAAAGAACAACCACCCTAACACGTTAACTTTGCTATGAGACTCTCAAAGCTGAGCTTTGCCTGGTTGCCTTAGTGATCTCAATAAACACACCAGGCGACTTGTTTTCCTGAGCTTTTACCTCTGGTAGAGGCACCCAAATTAAAAAGTCAGGCTGCAGGATGAAGTTGACACTCGGGTATCGTGATGTCTTCTGGGTGACTGCACACTTGAAAAGTTTTACTCAGAGGCATTTTAACTGCAAAGACACCTCAGTCCTGGGCACAGCAGCCAACCTCACATCTTTGAGGGGAATAAGAAACAAAGGAAAGAAGAAACAGTATCTCTTTGACCAAAACCTCTTTTACCTACCTGCACAGCCAAAAGCTAGGTGATACCTAGAAGAGGGGCTGAATTTGACACAACACACATTGGCCTTGGCCTCGATGCTTGCTACTGAATTGTCCAAGTTGGTAGACCACAGCTTCACTAGAGAAACAGAAAAAAGAGAAATGAGTAAACAAAAACAAACAAAAAAAATCAACCTCGTCTGAAAGGCATAAAATCTAGTTATTTCATAAATAAGATTCTGAAAAGCCTCACGCCAAGATGTTAGCGATTATAAGGGGTCAATTGCTGCTGATGGCTGGTAAGCTTGAGAACATTCTCAAGTGTGCACTGTAAATATTCTGCCCACCTCCATACACACAGGAGATGCTGAAAGTCCACATCCCACATGGCTGAGATCAGAGCAGGTGACTAACCATATGCTAGAATCTCAGCGTTTAAGGCTACTAGAGTGCAGATACATATAACCAAGAGCAGGAAGGCTTGTATCCTTTTTGTTCCTTGTCCCTTAGCTGGGATGCAAGATCTCCACACTCCACAGCAGAATTGCTTTGCACAGAATAAATATACTTAATTGTATGCTTTAGCACAGTGAGTGAGAACAACTTGTTTTATTCTTGAGAAACTGGCACAGACAGCGGAGAAATGTGCTGGCTTCCTATGATGATATATTTCCTTGATACAAGGAACTCCACTGTTCTCCGAGACTACCGTATGAACATTGATTAAACTTTGTAGTACAGAACGAGCTCTTCCTGAAGCACTCACTTCAGTGCTTCACAGGATGACCAACAGAAAACACCAGCGGCTTTTCAAAATAAAGCCTTCCCCATCCTCCACAAACACCTCAAGTAGCAGTTAACCTTAAAGATGAAGAGTGCCAGGCGCTCCCTACATAGCCGACCTTACTATTAAAAACTACAGATGAAACACTTTGCTCTCAGTCCAGGTGAAGGGGCAGCACATTGGCATCAACCCCCACTGATGCCTACAAGGCAGAAAATAACATTTATGTGTTTCTCCCTTCCCCCCTTTGCTTGGAGAGTGGGTTGCACTACACTTGAGTACCACGATCAGCATGCCGAGGCAGGAAGCAGGGCAAGCTGAAGCCACTGTTTGAACACACGGGAGCTACGTGAAGGCTTAATCCCTGAAACAGCTCCCACAAGCTGCCTGGGCTTCTTCAGATCTGTGGCCAATAGGTCTTCCCCTGTCTTTTCACAGAAAGCTCACTTTGGAGGGGAAGTGAGCAAAAATGGCAAAAGACTAGGAATCTTGTTACCCGCTGTGGTCAGTACATGAGGAAAGCAGACTTATGGTGTGTCCCCCCACCTTCTGAGGGTCACTCTGTATCACCTCTTGGTCAGTCTTTCCCAGGAGCTTTGAAGGAGAAGCAAAGCTTCCACATGGATTACCCAAGGATGTTTCAGATGGTCAAGGAAAAGGAGAAACACTGGTGTTCTAGTGCACCTACTTTTTAATAGTATGGCAAGCAATGAAAAACAAGAGCGAGCTATTTCTGACCATACCTCGGAGAACTGCTTCAGGAATGAGGGAAATACATGAGTGCTCGGTGCACACCAAGGAATCATTTTAGATACAGCACTGTGTGGGTATCTGACAGCTGCCTGGAACCATTGTAAGGCAGCACACACACACACCAGAAATACAATCACTGATGCATACTGTATTTGCGTATAAGCATTATGTAACATTCAATGAAAACAGCACCCACCCTGTTGCTGGCTTTCAGAAATAAATCCGTTCTCGTTTACCAGAGCTGTAGTAGTCATCCTGAACATCTAGCTACATTTCTAAATGAAACCAACAGCTTTGCATGCATGGCTTAAGATGCTCTCTTCTAGAGGGTGAGACTCGGTAACATACGTCCTCCATTGTGTGCTTGGGGGCAGGGAGATGAATGGAGCCAGGAAAGACAATTTTGCAAAACAATCAAATATTAGCATTTTGCTTTCATAGACTATACATCTCCTGGTGTTTGTTCAAGCAACAGTGGCAGTGGAGGACATCAAGTTCATGGATGAGATGGTATAGGAAGCAAATCATACCATGATTACAGGAGGACACTTGGCAGACAACACTGCTTCAACTTGAGGCGTGTGGGAAGGTTACGTGATCTCACAGTTCAGAGCAATGTTCTGCCCAAATCTAGTACTAACACCACACAGGCTTGTCTTCCAACCAGGTATCAATATTTAAAGTTGCATCCAAAGCGGCCAAGTCTCTCCTTGACACCACCTCTAATAAACAAATGGCCATCTGGTCTCGGTTTTGTAGCAAAAGGTAATTGAGGGCTCAGTTTCAACTTGGATCCTTTTTTCATTCAAGTTTTCAGGTCATAAGCTGAGCCATTTAATCTGGTGAGGAGTCAACCTGTGTGTTGAAAGCCATCATAATATTCTTTACAGCTGACAGACAGAGATTAGAGTCTGCAATTTCTGTGATCTAACTGCTGTGGGATACACTGGGCTCCAATTATATCTTAGTCAGTGCCATAAAGAAAGGATATATGTGACATATAACAACACATAATGAAACATGTCAAGTTTTACCTGGAACTGCCCATTATTTTTTTAAAAGAACTGACAGGTTAATAAAGCATAATTCATGAGAGTAAGGTTTATTTGCTGTAGCTTTCAGCAATTTTGCTGAGGTCGAGGCAGTAATTATCCAACGTACAGATGTCTTGCTAACACCTAGAATTGTGTTGATGAGACAAGCAACCATCTGAGATCGACTATTTCTAAATCATACCTTCTCAAAGCGTATGTTTTCTAATTTTGCAGCTGTTGAGAGACATCTCTATGTGGCCAAACGTCTACCCCTCACCAAACACGTAAGAAGATGCCACCAGAACAGCTTTTTCAGTTTAAAATGTTCAGGTCTTTTCACGATACTTTTTATTTGGTTGGAACTTTACACCAAATATGCAAGTTTATAAATGAATTTTCTATATATCAGTTCCATGTCTAAACACTGAATAAAGGAGGCAGAAGCCTGTACTGCAATATCTGAAGCTGTTGACGTACACAGTTGGTACACTGATAGTAAGAATATTTCATCCAGCCTGTCATTTTTGAAACTCTTATCTAGTCATGTGATGGATCTAGTTGGCTGCTGTAACTCCAAAAAAAGTTGTAAACTAGGAGTAAGACACTGGTACCAGAAAATTCGTTTGCACAGATCTGAGGAATCCCTAGGGAAGAAGGAAGCTGCTGAATTGTCCCACTAGGCAAAATTTTTGATCCACTGTCTTGTGCAGGTCAGGAGAATGATGGAAACTGATGACTGTTAGCAGGCAATGACCGCAGGGTATTCTTCCTTGCATAAAACACAGCCAGACAGATATTTTGGTTGGTATTTTAACTACCAACATCTTCTTGACCTTTCAAGATATTCCCAGTTGAATCCAACAACCCCACAAATCTCCAGGAAATTATCGAACTTCTTTTAGCCAGGAAAATGAGCAAACTGAAAGTTCAAACTGGTATTTTAAGCGAAATAAACACCTATACCTCCAGTTAAAGTCAGCAGAAGCTAAAGGAACTAAGTATCACTGAAAATAAAACCCCAAACAATCCTCTGGAAGTCCTCAAAGCCTGGGAGCAAATTGATCTGCAGTTCTCAGGGTAGCTCCCCCTCTAAAAGACCATGCTTCTTTTTTATGAAGCCAACCCTGCAATTCTGCTTTATCCCACTGAATTCAGGGACACTACCAAAAAATAGCTGTATGATTCGTACCCATGGTCTCACCAAGGCAGCATGGAAATTACTTTCCTTATATGTAATGAAAGAGATGCTTGCATTCCTCCTTGGCATAAGACCATGAAAAGTAACCTCTCACTAAAACTCAGAGCCCTCGGGTGCTCCTGTTCTGTTCCACCTCTCCATTTTGAGCCAGGAAACAGTCAAGGCACTACAGCTTACAGAAAGGACATAAAACCAGGACTCTTTCTTCGGCTGAATTTGTCAGTACTGCTTGTATCACCTTGAGCTTCAAAAACAACCCCAGAACAAATGCTTCATTACTCCACATCAGATCTCTACCACGGTGGAGACTTAAATCCTACCCACATGGCATCACAAAATATTCTGTTTTCTCATCTGCTCATTTTGCCACAGCCATTAAACTACCTTCCCAATCCAGAACAGACAGGGATGTTGGTCTGAGAAGCAGTTGTACATCATTAGCTAAGTGCGCTAGCTCCAGCCCTATCCTTGCACTTTGATAGCATCATTCTGCCTTCAAAAAATTAATCTTTTCTGCTCAAAAAGTAGAAATTCACCCTTTCTTACTTATATGAGAATCATAGCTCCTGCTATTTTTATGTCCATAAAAGAACTGAAATTAAGACTGTGCCGTTTCCCCAAGCTGTTTGTAGCACAAGTAAACACTAATTTTACTCATTGCTGTCTATCTTTAGGTCCCTATAGACATACGCAACTACCTTTGCCCCTTTAAAAGGGAAGGGCATGGCAACTATAGATAAAAGCGAGGTTTTTTATGCACACAGTAGTTACCTCAAATACAATAATGCTTTTAAGCTTTCATTATCTGCCATTAAAGTAGAAAGATCTTCTACAAATGAGCATTCTTGTATTATCTTCATCTTATGATGGGGACAACGCAGGACCTGAGACCCAAGGATGTTGTTTCTAACTGTATCAGAATCATTTTACCCCTAAAAGCACTCCATTCTTCAGCATCTCCTTTGCTGGGCCTGAGCCCTCGCACAGACAGCTGTGAAGCACTGATGATAGGATTTTTCATCTAAAAGCTCCTTCACAAATACATGCCCGCAGAGCATAACCAAGTGCTTTAAAAATTAGCTTCCAACATGAAAAGACGGAGGAGAGACAGGCAGGTACACAGGCAAGCAGGAAGAACTGGCAAAGCTGTCACTTTTTTGCTAGCTTGTCCTGATCATTTGAGAGGAAAATGTTATACTTGTGCTTTCTAGGGAAGCGAGGCGAGATTAGCTCCAATTGCTCTGGTTACACCAATATCTATCATCATTGAGATTTCTTGTTAGAAAGCCTAGTGTGTCCTCACACAAGCAGAGTAGTAAAAGAGGACAGGAAGGGTACACAGATCTTGGCTTTTGGCCCAGGTTCTGTACCTGGCCAAACACATGTTACTACACACCCAAAGCTGACCAGAACTCAACCGAGCACTCATGAACATAAGCAGAAGGACAAAAATTTAAGTTAGGCAGGTTTGAGTTAAAACACTTGTCATAGGTGTTACCTTTTCCTCACATTTAAACCTTTCTATGTGATCACTGAAATAGAAGGTGGACGCTATATAACATTAATTTGGACGTTTGCTATTATTGCTCTGTACCTTAAACACTTCTAAAATCTGTGCTTATTTCTAACACTTCCACACAGGACTCCATTTGGCTCTAGTGGGCTTGTTACATATGCATATCAGGCAAATCAGGGTAGAAGGATAAAGTGTTCCAGCCCGGTTTTATTCACCTAAATCTCAATACGCTTCCAAAAGATCTTTGTGAATTGAAATGCAAGCTATGTAAATCTGCAAATGTTATTACAATAATTTCTAAGTAAACACTACACTTTTAGAGACTATTAGTGAAGAAGTGAACTGTTAAACTAGAGACAGGAGCTCTGCTTGCAGCTGGCTTTGCAAAACTGGACAACTTGTTAACATGCTAATAAATGCATGTCTACCTGGCAGATAAGCTTTTTCAAATGCATAGCATGAGTGGGGAGGAATGTGATGAAGAGGTTGATAATTTACAAGGTGAATGTTCACTCCTGCTGCATTTAAGCACACAGAAAATACTTTTGACTTCCTCCAAAAAAAAAAAGGGGGGGGGGGAAGTGTATCAAAAACATTTAAAACACCTCAAATACAATCACTGAAGTTGCATTTTGTAAATGGAATTACCAGCTACATTAAGACTGCCAAATGAAATTGAGGAACACTAATACAGCTTTCTTTTGAAACAGAATTTAAAAACATTTTAGAGTTTGAAAGGTTTAATTTTTATGAAATATTAATTTATCATTTCAAAGCAAATCATGAAGAGCTTTGTCCAAAGCTGTATCAGCCCATCTGGGAGATGTGATCCCCACTGAATATGAAAGGAACTCTACAGCTTTTGCTGCTTAATAACTCTACTTTGACACTGTAAATATATTACAGATAAAATCTTGTTCATTAGAAATGAAGAATACTACATGCTGCTCAGTGCTAACCTTTACTTTAGAACTTTCCTATTTCCTCTTAGAAGAGACACATTCTTCCACCAGTATGTTGGGAAAGGGCTTATCTTAAGGGCTCTCCAAAAGCCCTTGGTGAAATGGACCCCGGAGTGTGCAAAACTGAGTGCTGCTCCCAGTGCTCCCATTCAGTCCACCATCTGGCCGCTGAGCTCCAAGCAGCACACTGCACACCGTGAAAGCGGGAGGCTTCCCGGTGTTCACAGTCTTTAACATTCAGAGCTACAGGTAAAACTGCAGCAGGCATTTTTAACTTCTGCTTTTTCCCCAGCAACCTTATTTCTGAAATATAAATACATGCTGTTCTTCTGAAAGGCCCCAACCAAGCCTTTAACTCAATAAGCTTAACTAATGTTTAAAACCCATTTTACTTGGTTTAGTGTCCTGGAAAACACTAGCTAGAGAGCATACCACCTGAAAAATGTGAGCATCGTATCAAGAAATCTTAATCCAAACAAAGCCTCTTCTAAGATCCAAACAGTTCAGTAATATCTTCACACATTATCATGCCAACTACAATCCTGAAGGTAGCTGAGGAATCAGCTATTTGAAATATCACATTTTTGTTCCTGAAAGGGAGTACGCAAAGTGTAAACTTTCTGCACAGGGACTGAGAAAGAATAATACCTTTGGCATCATCAGAGCCTGAGGCCAATAGCTTTGGATCCATCAGGTTAAAGTCAACACTCCAGCACCTTTTCTCATGCTCCTGTTTAGAAAAACAAGAAAAATAATGTGAGGTAGTGAGCTGTAATCTGATAAAATAGTAAAAGAAAAAAATACATGCTGTTTTGTATGAATTGTCAGAAGAGTCCTGGACACAGAAACTTACTGTGTTTAGCAGTTTATCAAAAAATACCCTTTCTCCCAATTAGACCAATGCTTGTAGTATGCTAGACATGCCATAAAAGCAGAACACAGTAGAATGGCAATTTTAAAAACTAAAACTGATTTTCTTTTTTTTTTTTTTTTCCTTTACTTGAAAGAAAAAAATGACGACTTCAGGAAATATACTTTAAAGACTTGTTTTTTTGCAGCACAGTTTGACTGACTGTGGTTCTACTGTGTGCTGCTTCTTATTCTAGTAGATCACAGTTGTATCTCCCAATACCAATAAGATGCCCGTTCAAAGCCATTTCAAACACCTCCTCTCTGAAATTTCAGGAGGAAAATCCCACCTTCCCATTGAGTTATTAAACAAAACTTCTGGTGTCTAATCCTGTCCTACCACTGAAACAAATATTCTTACAAGACTGCACACTCTTCTCCAAAATACAGAAGAGCTGTATTTGCTAGGCTGGCACATCCCACATGGAAGCACAACACTGCGTTGAAACCCGAAATTCAGTTAAAACCCTGAAGTTTAAAGACTTCACACAGGCTTGCAAGACGACGACATGAAAAGCTCGCCAGGACAAAGTCACTAAAGGATTTCTAATACATGCAAAGCAGATGTCAGTATGCATGCCTCTCTGCAAATCCAAATAAAAAATTCAGGTAGTCTGACAGGAAGCAAAATGAGTTCGTTTTAACACAAGCAACAGCTGGTCCTCTCTAGGTTCATTATTCAGCCTCATAACAAGATGCAAAATATATCTGAGAGGAAAACAGACAAGATTTATTTTGTCCAGTATAATTTCTTTTTAATTGAGATATGCAAAGTATAAGTTTAAAGCATTATAAAGTGGACAAAACACAATGAAAAAGTAAACAAAGGCTTAAATAGGAACCAAAACTTAGGCTGAACTGTCAAGAAGAGGGAACTGAAGGCCAGTCTGCAGTTCATTATCACTCACCAGTTTCGGGGCACTATGGTACCTACACAACACCCTGCAGCACTTCCAGCCTCTCCCCAGACAGAGCCACCACTCTTCCAACCTCCTCGTTCTGAATCACAAGCCTCCCTGAATCCATTATATAGAAACGCAGTGTTCGAATACCATGATAAGACAAAATACCAGAAAATTCTCCTGAAACAGGTCTCGCTGTTGAGCACGTGTACGCTGCTCTGCTGAGCGCAGGACTGCATCGGGAAGGGTTCTGCCCACCCTTCTGTTCTCCCAGCCTCGCCACTTAAATCTGCATTTCACTCTCCTGCTTTACGAGCGCCCGCAGCAGTGATCACTGCAGGATTTCCCAAAAGACTTTTGACAAAAACTGAAGTGGAACAGGTATGGAGAGAGAGAGGTTTCTAAAGAAAGGTGAAATAACTTCCAGAAACTCATTTCTCCCTGTGTAGATTCCCTGCCCGGAAGCAGCAACAAGAAAACGTCAAATGCCTCATGACTGTGACAAGAAGATATAGCTGCCTCCCTCGGAAGACTGCAGCTCAATAAAGCTGTGTGGATGAGACATTCACCAAACAGGAGGAGCATCCGTTTCACCCTGAGGAATGGAAAAGCCTGCTGCTGGACTAGAAAGCAGAACCTCAGACCGACCACTGCTCCCCCAAGTGTGCTCCCCCGGTGTGGGAAAGTGTTGCTCACTGATCGCATGTTACCTGGTAGACCTTGGATCTTTGTCCCGTGAATCCGTCCCAAAGGATGACGGTGCCCTCATAGTCACTGCTGGCTAGCAGGTTCTTGTGGTAACTACTCCAGCTGATACAGCTTAAAAAGAAAAACAGCCCCAATCAGTCTTAGGTTAAATCATAACTTAACCCAACACAACAAAAATCACTCTTGCAATTCATCAGGCAATTAGTGTCTTTGCAAAGGACACAGCATTCAATCAAGCCACGCCACTGAAATACTCAGGAAAGGACAAAACCAAAACCCACCAGAAATAAAACAAACTTTCCTCCAAAAACTAAAAGAAAAGCTCTATTGGCTTAATTGACATTGCCCCCCTCAAAATGAAGTGCTAGAGTTTGTGGTTTGTTTTCGTTTTTTGTTTGTTTGGTTTGTTTTTTTTTTTTTTTTTTTTTTTTTTCAAAACGCGTTCACCTCTACCACTGCAATTGTTTTGCTATTTGACTTCCACACAAACTCTCATGAAGAGCTCAGGGTTTGACTTCTTAGCCTCTTGCCAATAGCTACTACTGTTATTATTACCATAAAGATAACTAACCTAACAAAAGCTATATATCTGTAAAACATATAGCTGCATGGGTGGTAAATCAACTTCTCCAGCACATATGTAATGTTCTATACATGTACCTATGTGCAAATGAAAGTTTGACTTTGGGGAAACTACTTTCAGCTTTCTGTAAATGCGGAAAGACCTCCTCTTCCTATCCAAAAGGAAACAGCAGTTTAGGAGATGTTTTTGATCCAGAACTGCAAAATAGATCGCATGGGTTTGAATTTTAAACTGAATTGAGTGGCCCTGCAAAACTGAATGACAATTCCACCAACAAACTTTAACCATCAGCAGACAAAACAAGAGCAGCGACGCTGCCAAGTCACATCCGTAGCATTCTGGCACTATGCCTCCACTCCGACTCCTGAAAAACGTGACAGAGGTAAGAAAATTTGTAATACTTGTTCACCAATTTTTGCACCATCTGGCAGAAAAGCATGCCAGTTGGTATCAACTGTGATGCATGCAGCAGAAGCTAAACTGACAGATCCAACTCATGCAGGTCAAACAGCTCTGACACAGTTAACTAGATTATGGTAGCCCTGGGGACAAGTTTTAACCAACAATATAAAGTAGAAGGCCATGATTCTGTAACTTTTTAGTACTGCTCTGATCAGTGTAGCTACACATTGAAATATGACATAGGTACATAAATATTGACTTAGAAGTATTATACCTTGGCAAATCCTTGGTTCCACTATACACTTGCACCATGTTTTCCTTAGGAATTTATACACAGAAGGGGAAAACCACTCTTCCTTTTTTAAGGTAGTTAAATGTAAACACTTATTTTTCAGTTAGTTAAATAGCATCAAGCAGCACGGGTGTTCTGCTCTTGACTAACTTAACTTACTGGGGTGTGGGTTTTATAACTACAGAGGGACTACGCATACCATCATAGTTCACCACTACTTGGCTGCATGGAATCCACAAGCTTATCTGAGGTTCTGCAACAGCCAAACAACAAAAGGCAAGAAACTCAACTGGTTTTCAACAAAAATTTGAAGAAACAGGAGGAAGGAGTAACATCCTATTGGTGCTTGCATCAGCAGAAAACTTCACCGAGTGATCCAAAAGACTTCCAGCTCTGACTTCCTCTGTTTGCACAAGATAATCTAACTTACAGAAATAGGACAGTTGTCCAACCACAGCAGCTTTCTGCAAGCCTCTTGCACCCCTGCATGATGCTTGGAGAAAACCTTCAGGACATACCCTCCCCCCATGGATCACTGGGGGCTTTCTTTAGAACGGCCAGTACAGAGGGACATTTGATGACACTGCTTTTAACCTGTCTACCTGCAATCTGTTTTCGCACTTGCACGTTTCCTTCTTACAACAGCATCCCTTGATTTGAAAACCTTGCATTTAGAAACTTAAAAAGTTTTATTTACCCTATGTAAATCCTTGTCTTTAACAATCAGCTGCTAGGAGGATGGTTGAGGTGATACAGCTCAGGGAATGCTATCCCTGGTTTCCCCTCTTCCATGATACATCATTAATTAGAGAATGTTAAGTGTCCTCAGCCCTTGAAGGTACAAAGACTGTCCACAATGTATCATCAAGCAGCTATCATTACACCAGCTCTGTTACCATTAGGTACCCACACAGAAAAGCAGGTCTTGACAGTCTATGATTTACTAGAAGCCGCATTCAGAGAGGCTTAAGTGGCTCCCTGAGGACCAAATGAAGCTGGCAGGCACTGCCCACCAGGACTTGGAGGTGAAGGTTGCAGCAGTCCAGAGATAACTATGTCTGACGTCTGGAGTCTTGTTTCCAGGCGGAGCAGTCAGTCATTGACGGAAGCAAAAGTGGCTCAGAGCCCTAAAGCTATAATACAGTGAGGCTCTGGGCTGGGAGCAGTCTCCAGCTAATGGCAGGGGGGTAGACACTGGAATAGACTTCTATTGGTTCAAACCTGTCCCCCCTGCCATCTTATCTTTGCTCAAGTCAGGGCTTCAAGGAGCTTGAAAAAAAAAAAAAAATTTGTAAGTTTAGCCATCACACAAAAGCAGGAAGAATACAGGCCAGGGCCAAATCTTGGAGAAGGCAGTCTTTGATCTGGATAGCTTTGAGAGTATGTCAGGCAGCATCAGCAGGTGGAGAGGGTCCTAGAGAAAGGCAGACATGCTGGTGTCACCTTGGCTGGTTAGAGGATGAACGGTCTAGGGGAGCACAAGATCCACATCTGGCTGGCAAAAGAGAGCTAGGAATTGCAAGCTGAACTATGAAGAGGATAATCACATAACTATATCTTGTAAAAAAAAGAAATCACCCCAGACGATGAAAATTAGGAATTACTGAGTAGGTAGAAAAATATAAAGGACGGAATTTAACAGTTCTATTTGAGATGTGATAGATCTAAGGATATAAGTGTCAGGTTTGCAGGGAGAAGTTATATTTTATCAGATCAATCAATATAGATGGAGAAAAATGAAGGGTTTCAGTGCCCGAAAGCATGTCCATTAGGTCTGGCACAGCAAAGATCAAGCTAAGCATTTTGTCCCACTGAAGTCTGACGGTGTTAATGAGGGGTTAACACTCACTCAGAAAGCATTTGTAGATAGACTGAGAGGGGAAACCAGGAACTGACAGGTGAAAAATGTTTAGGGATTTGCAGCCACTAAGTGGTTCAATTAACACCTTTTAAGTCACACATACCATAAATCTTTCATTTTTAAGGAATATGATTAAAGGATCATAATAAGACAAAACCAACTCTGTTCCAGCTCTCTGCCTTAATTCTCCCCTTATCACAACCCAACCCTCTTCACAAAGTTTGGAACTAGAGCTTTCTCCCCAACACTGCAATACCTGAGCTTCTATAGAACTTAAATTCTCAAAAATAACCTTGTAGAACACAATTCAGGGTTGGATCAGGTGGAGGGGAGCTCGCTCTCCAGGTAAAGGATGCTTTTTACCAAGGGCTGACTGTCCTTTGATCGTATTCTCTGGTGCCTGTGATGATACAGGCCTGAAAGAAGGCTGTCTCGGAGCTGGGATATGATGTTTCTCTTCCATGGGGCTTCCCTGGGACCTACAAAGGGTTGAGAAGCTACTGCCATGCTCCCCTCAAGGGAAGCACTGATCTTTCTTCCATGCCCAACACAGGCAATTTTGTTGAAACTTCAAAGACATCTACTTTTTTGGGTTCCCTTGAGATGTTATCATGGGTGACAAACTGAGTAACAGACTCAAAAAACACATGGGGGAGCAAGCTGGAGAAGGGGAAAGGGCAAAGGTGCAGCAGCAAAAATGCAGCTTACACAGTCCTCAAACAGGTTAAGCATCGAAACCCCAGAAGTTCATAAATATAACCTTTTGTAGACAACCTTTAGATGGCCTGCAGCCACAACTAGGGAGAAATTGAGATGTGGAGGCTTTGAGGTATGATACAAAAATTAGGTACCTAAAGCTGAGATAATGTATAATTCAGCGCTGAATTAAAAGGAGTTTTGTGAGGCCATCTTTTATTTTAAATACTAGTAGCTTTACTTTTTCAGGTTTTACTTTATTCTTTAAATCCAGAAACAAGGCGACAGCTATACCCCAGAGGTTTATCTTGCCATAAGTTGTGATAGCTTTCCTTCCTAGGAGATTAGCCAGGAGAAACTGTAGTTGAAAGCTAATCATCAACCTCTGAGACATTCTCCTTAACCTCAGCATCCAATCTGGACACACAGAAATCCTGACCCCGTAAAGATTTATGTGCATCTTTCATTTTATTCAGAGATACAAGTGGGCCAGCTCGGTTAGCGTTGTCAGTCACACTGATGTTTCTTTCATGAGCCAGTATTTTTATGGCTGAAATGTCTCAAATCCAGGATCAAGTTACCAGGTGTCAACCACCCCTCTGGCGGTGAGTTAAACGGAGTTAAAGCCTTTAATAAGGCACAAACTGCTGTGGTCTGACCTGCTTCTGAGTGCCAAATGCTTCAGATCCAGTCTATTACCATGAGTCAACCAATGCCCAGTAGTTTTAGGACTGAAACGTTTTTAAAGGAGTGATCTTTTACTGCAAGGAACATCCACGTGAATAACAATGCTAACCAAGTACTTCAGCGACATACAGAATTACATTACCATTCTGAATGTTAGAAAAAAGTTGTTGTTTTTTTTTTTTTTTAAATCAATCCAAAGAAAACCTTTAGTAGGGTTAAGAGACAAATACTTCCAAAGAAAAACTTCATCTTATTGCAAAGTGGAACAGTTACTCTGAAAACTGGAATTAATGCAAGTTGAAGGTATATTTCCTTATAACCTGCTTAGTGTCAAACATTTTCTGCACTGGAAATATGGGCATCCAACAGAACCACCTGTGAGGTTTTTCAGCATGAAGAGAGCTCATACCTCTCCAAATAGCAAAGACTCTACAAAGAAAAACACCATACTGCAAGTTCTTGCTTAATTTAAACTTAATAGTGAAAACTGACTGCCGTTTCAAAAACTGACAGCAATATGCCCATGAACTACTATTAGGATCAAGCAATCACACATTTGATTTACTGACACCGAAAAATGAAAACAATAAAATACCAGCAGCCCCCTAAAAAAAAAAAAAGCCTACTGATGCTTAGCTTTTACTGCGGTTGACTAAACAGATGCAGCTGATTTTGGAGGTTTGTGGTAACATCTATCACTGAAGTACAGATGCTGCAAACACACAGTGGTGAGCATGCAGAATACTAAACATTGATTTCAAAAGCGTGTTTACCTAACCACACTTGCACATCACCTATTGTAGATTAACGAGGCCTAAAGCCAATTTCTTTTACCTGAACGCTAGATCTCCTTATTTTTCTCACCCTGCAACCTGTGGCAAAACAAAAAAATCTGCCTCTTGAATAAATCAGAGAAGAGCTGTGGCTCGCTGCTAGCCGTTCATTCTCTTCTCGTCCTTTCCCATCTCCTCCTGCGCGGGGGGAGCCGCGGATTATTGTCTGCCATAGCTAGGGACACAGCAAGTCATAATTAGCTCACAGGGTGCTGTTTATAGCTACTACACAATGCCAGGATTTGTTTCTTGTACCGAAGCTATGAATCTGTAAATGGGATTTTTATGAGGATTTATGTGTCATCTTGTGTTTTTCCTGGAAGCTTATGCCACTGTCGTTCCCGGGGGACGCGATGCACATTTACCAGAAACCCAACACACCAACTTCCTCCCCGCTCTTAAAAACAGGGATGAGAAAGCTCCGCAGATGATGAAAAAAGAATGTATTTAAGAAGCAGGTGGGTGTAAAAAGAGGAAGAAAGACTCAGCTACAGCTGGTACCACGGCTCTGCTCCAGAAAAGCCTACAATCAATTACTGCTGGCATGAAGCTCAACCTTTCAGCAGGCGCCCAGCTGGCACAAGGCAGAGCAGGGCTGGGCTGGGGCCAGCCCCATCCCAGGCAAGGGCTTCCCTTCCCGCAGCTGCTCCAGGCCAGCAGACTTGCTCTTGGCCAGACACAAGTCCTCACAAACCCTGTCACCTGCCTGCTTTTATAAAAGCCCATCAGAGCTGCTGCGCCTCCAAAAGCTGAGTCACCGACCTAACCGCCAACAATTTATGCTCCGGCATCGTTTTTATGTTCCGGCATCATCCCTCCGAACGAGGTTAACCGGGATCAATTTTAGGGTGAGCTCCCCCTGACGTGTCTTTGGAAAGACAAAGTGCCTGCGGACAGACAGCTCTGGTGACACGTGAGGACTGAAGGGATGTTATAAGCCGTGCCAGTGTCGCGCGCCAGCTTCAGCAGAAGGAACGTCACCAAATCCCATCTGCCCACAGACCCCTGCATCCGTGCTGGTAAAAGAGGTACCACCCGCGTGTCACAGCAGAAATGCATCCATCTTCAGCATCAGAAAGCACACTAGCAGGGAGAGTAAACCTCTGAAAGAAGCTGCTGCTCCACCCAAATTAAGATCAACAGCTTTAAGCCAAGGCTTTTTACCAAAAGAAGGCTCCACTTGTTTGGATTTTATTATAATACAGGCACATTTTCAGCATCCTGCAATATTCTGTAATGAAATTACAGCTTTCGTATATAACTTCTCCCTCAAGCTATGCCACTTCAGAATACCAAGTTATTATGCTGCTCAGTGCTTCGCCAGCGAGCCCCAGCACCAGTGACTGGCAGCACAGCTAATGGATATAGCAAGGATGCATTCGACTGACAGCCTAACTTTATTTGTCAAAACCAAAAGCACCCACATGCTGAAGGAAGGCTGATATAACCTGGAGGTGCCACGGGGGGGAAAAAAATAATATATATATGCATTTCTTCGGAGGAATAAGAGAAAGTAGGGCAAGAAAATGAAAGAAGAGGACCCTGTCCACCTTTGCTGAGGCACAGAGTGTCAGATGACAATTCATTTAGCATTGTCATATATATATATATATAATGTATTTATGCATGAAATTTGAGAAAGATAAGAAATCTTGAAGGCAAGCAGTGTCTTGTCTAGAGCACAAAGCTGACAAGAATAACATCACTGAAGGCATTAATGCGGCTCTTCTCACCAGCGGCTGCTGGAGAAGGAAGAACAAACAACTTCCTAATGCCTGGCAGGATCATCGGGGTAGATTCCTGTCAAATTTGAAGTAGCAAGTCTGGAAATTGTCTCGGACTGAGAAATTCCAAACACACATTGCTTTTCCCCTTCTTATTAAGGCAAAAGGTATTAACTGACTGCTAGATGGTTCTCCTATTATTCTGCTCTTGTCTCCAGAATAATGAAGCTGAACAGTATGAACTCTGCTATCACTCAGGCAAAAATGCTGAACATTTCACAAATCCAGCAAAACACAAGCTCCATAACCAGTGTGGCTTATCAAGAAAAAAATCCCTCTCAAACTGTTTTTACTCATCTTGAAAGTCACTCCCAGCCTCAGTTGCATTTACATCTTTTCCTTCATAAAACAGTGTTACACAATTCCTGAGAATAATCAGCATGAGTGATCCAGGAGTGACTGATCTATCTTAAGAAATGTGTCAACTACAAAACTAAGTGTGAGTTTTACGCTATAAAGAAGGCTTGCAAACATTATTAATCTTGTTACACAACATTGTGTTTTCATGAAAGCTGGACGGTTATATAAATTTATTACTTAAACTTTTGTGGGTGCTTTACTGTTTTTAAAATGTAGAGTACCAAATAAAAACAAATGAGTTCAACACAGATGCTGGTGACTTGTATTATAATACTGAATTGGTTTGATTGCCTGTATTATTTACCTCTGAGCTTTAACAGAATTTTTGAATTAGGATTTGTAAGTTATGTTAGCTGGATTCTTTCAATTGAAGTTCTGACATGGTGGTCTATTTTTCTCTGGTTTAAGCAATCTAAAGAGATGACAGTAATGACAGCAGCACAGAAGCAGAAATCAAGCAAGGTCTTTTCCCAAGAGCTTGATATTACAAGGCCCAGCAGAAGAGTACTTCAGGCAGACAAATTCACAGGCAGAAGGTGCAAATGAGGCACACTGACTGCAGACTACCAGCCTCCCAGCAGAATTGAAAGGATTTGGTTGATGAAGAGAAGAGAGCATGAAGGAATCAGTGGCTATTATGAAGAACTGGGCAGAGAAGTTACCTTGACAAGCTAAGACTCTACCTGGAGCATAGCCACCGCTCTGCTTTTACTCTCCTTTTAACTGAGTAGGTATCCAACAGCATTTTCAAGAAAACAAAAGCAGTTCACTACCCTATATCCATTTCTCCTCCAGACGTGTGAGTCTGCTCTTACCTTGGATGAGCCCAGCATACACAAGTAAAAGTGCTTGTGGCACCTGATCTCACCCAGAGTTCAAAGCAAGCTCTCCATCAGCTCCTGCTTGCCTTTCCCCTCCCATTCCCACAATGGATAAGGAAAGCAAAACAGTTACTGCACGTAAACAAATTGAAAAGGCCCTCTGAGTTCAAATGCAAAGTCAATGCCTACCTGATTTTGGAATTACAGGTCATTTCATTCTCAGGGTAGTGAATATCCACCGCATCCTGAATGACTGTACCATACTCATAGACTTTAATCTTCTTTGTCACCCCAGCGATGGCAAAGTAGTCACAGTCTCGGTCGAACTCGATACTGAGGAACAAAAGCACAGGTTGAAAACTGTGTAACGCAACAAATGTACTTACCAGAAGGTCATTTTACCACCTAAATGGTGGTGTGGCAGAACTGAGAATCACAATTTTCAGTTAGCAAAAAGTTCAGAGCACCTTGGTCAGATCTGGCACACACACCAACAGCATGGAGTTCTTGCTCTCAGGCACCATTTTCTAATCCCCTCTAAACACACCCACATCTCCATTAACTGAAGTGGACTTTCTGTGGTAGCACAATCTCCCTCACACAGCCAGGATCTTTGTTCAGACGCTCCAGAGGTTTTCCTGTTCAACTCACCATCTACATTATGCAGTACCCAAACGCCAAAGCTGACAGCTCACCCTGGAAATGTGCTTAACATTCAGCTGTACACTCTAAGAACTATGTGCTGCAGGATGTCTGTCCATCGATTTACCTCAGTTGCATTGCTGCATCCCTTAGCTCCCATATACAGCAGATCGGTCAACTCTTAAGTGTTAATGCAGAGCAAACTATTTGTGAAAAAAACTCCTCCTAAATTACCTGAGTAAGAACAGAGGATCAAAACATATATCACTAGCACTGTAAAAACCATGCACTCTATGACTTCCACTTAGGGTTGCTTGTGGAAACCGAGGCACCTTCTTTCTTGAACTGCAGGGCAAGTTTGTAATAGATATCAATGAAGTTGGAAGTAAAAGCAGTCACCTTATAACAAAGTTAAACTGCAAATGAGAAAAGCCTGAGGTTGTACATGAAATACATCCGAGAGAAAGGCAGGCAGCAGGTTATAAACAGCTAATGTCATTGCTACCTTTGCAGCTCGGAAGGGCTCGAGAGAAATCTATTAGACATCTAGTCGTGAGGGAAGTAAACCTGCTTCCTAGGAGCTCCTGCAGCTCCTGTCCCCGCAGGCAGGGCAGGGTGGATGTGCACATACACCCACCTCCTTTCAGGAGCACCAGCCTCAGCAAGGCATCAGTTTGCTGCTCCCTCCCAGAAAGGGCTTGGGGGTGGCATCTGCCTTCAGTCTGCGGGTTTCTATGATCACTAACCAGCTCTCAAGTCTTTTGACTAAGTAATCAATCTACTACTTTGAGAGGTCTCTTCTGGGGTTCTTCCTCTCAGTAATGTGTTTCAATCTCTGCTGTCCCTATTTTTTTTTTTTTTTTTTCTTTTTCCCCCAAGAAGACAGAAGGTTTGTGAACCAGGCAGCAAGTTCTGAATGGCAGCAGAGAAAACTGAGTTTACACTGATTTCACATTCATATAGCTTGAAAAAATCCTGAAAGCAGGGGTATTAAGATACCTTTCTACAATTAGAAAGCATTAAAACAACTAAAAGAATAGAGAGATCTCTAGGCTGCCACTATAGCTGTAAGAGCTAGTATTTTCCACCCCTCAACGTAGCTGAGAAGTCAAAGGCACTGCAGTGCTTTCAAGGGAAAATAAATTTAAATGCCAGCAGAGTTTTCAAGTCCTTGTAAAGGAGATATCATCAAGTTATTTTTAAACTATGGAGAGAAAGGATTGTTGATATGCAGTCTGATGGTATAAAATGATTCAATGAAACAGCTTCCAACTTGGCCTTTTAACTCAGGCACCTAAAACTTCTCCGAATCAGTGGCAGGAGATGGTCCCACTCACGATCACTTGCTTGCTAGAGGAGAAAAGAGGTAGCTGGGTCCAGCCTGCAAAACTGCAAGCCTCCAAAAGGCAAAGAAAAGGAACATGCTTATGGCTAGGGAATAAAGCAAGGAAGTGTACACCTATTTAAATAAATCAGAAGAGGGAAAGAAGTCATCCAAGCTGCCAGACTGCTCCCCCCGCCCCCAAATCTACCCTAGTCTAATAATTTTTTATACAAACTGGATGAAAGCACCGTTCAGGCCTGTCTTGTCAGCTCACCCTATTCTATGGAAGACTTTTATAATCAAAAGCCTCTATAACAATACAATGGATTTACCTGTACCACAATCTTAATTAAATGACTGTCTCTGCTCCTGTTCACTGCCCTGTGGATTCAGGTAAAGCGCAACTAAACCGATGGCAGCGATTCATCTACTTGGCTTCAATTTATACCCTTAGCCTTCTGCTGAAGGAAAAAAAAAAGTATTACAATGTCTGGTAAAAAGCCAAGTTATTAGAACAGAATAGAACCTTTCTCACCTGGGGTGGGTTTGCTTCTCTAGCATTAATTCCATTTTTTATTAATAGAGACATGCTGTAGACATAACAAATGAGTATTTCAATACGTCTATAAAAGTTAACACATCATTTAAAAAATTAATAAAAAGCATCAACAAATGAAATTGATTATCAGACCCATGACCTTCAAACAGCAACAAAGACACTGCAGGGAGAAAACAGATGCAGAACTAAACCACCACCTGTACAGATGTTCACTGGCTGTGAGAGAGGCAGGCAAACCCAACACACAAAGCTTTGCACATATTTGCACCTTGGCTTCCATCACCTGCGCACAGTCCTGGTACAACAAGTGTTCTTACTTTCTGACAGTCAGCTTTCAGTAAATGATTTACAAAGAAAAATATGAACGATCTAAGTAGCTAATCAAGTGGATTATTTACCATATAAAACTATTACCAATATTTGTAAAGCTCTACTTTCTCCTGGACTAATTGGGATTAAGACAAACAGCACACTTGCATAGCAACAGTTTTTTTCATGCTTTTTCCTACAAGTCTTCTGAATACATTTAATATTAAGCAAGGCTTATTTGCATTTAACTAGCTTGATGGTATTCCTGTCACTCACTGCTTGAAGTCTTTGTGTCAATGTAAGCGCTCGCTTATACACAGGCTTATCTGTCTGAAAACTCACAACAGAACTTAGTTTTATTTTGTCAAAAGACAGAACAGGGCCAACTCTGAAGAACAACATTCTGGTTTGCAGGGATTTCTACAGTCAAAGTGAATTAGCCATTAGCACAATGATAACATGCAACAGAGTAAAGAGAAATACTTTATCCTTTTTGTCAAAAAGGCCATCGAGTTGAGACAAACCAGCTAGACAACAGCATCCACTTCACACGTGGTGAGAGGCACAGAGCTACCAGCAGCCAAAGCAAAAGGCATAAAACTCACATGCAACGGCTATTAACATCCTGCTAAAACAAGAGCAATGTGTTTTGGTAGCACTATTTTAAGGAGCCTTAACATGGGACTGACAATGAATGTTTTCACCATCCCAGAGGGCAGATGGAGCACCAACTGTCTGTGTGTGCTACAATCGTACCTCCCTTCCAGCATAAAGCAACCTCCTCTAGAGGTAGGAGACCACTTCAGACATTTTCATTTTTTTTTTTTTTTAAAGCAAGTACTGGAGGTAAGCCATATTTTAGATTGTTTGAACAGCCAGTGAAATCCCCTTTTGGACTAGCAGTGGTCCTTGCTCCTCAAAGATGTGCACGTTACAAACAATTTGCAATTACTTTTTTTTTTTTTAAAACCTCCTGTTAAACTCCCCACCTCTGACCAACAAAGACTAGCTGAATTTTCATAAGGAATCTTTTGGGGACACAAAAGCTCTTGGATATTTGAAAGAGATACACAATTGTGCAACAGAATTTACTTATAAAAATCTAATTGAAAGGAACTGATTGTTTTGTTCTAGGGAAAAGAGAGACATCTCCATCTCCCACGTCACTGTTTTCCTTTTCCTAAGAAGTTAATGACCAGCGCCCTATGGAAATACCAATAAGAGCTGCTAGAAAGTAAACACATTCTCAGGGGTTCTGGTTGCTCTGCAGCTTATCTTTATTTTTCAATCTGTGAGATTATAAATCAATTGCTTTATTTAATGCTAAAACCTACAACCTTGGAGAGCACTCATAGCTAACAAATGGAATTACAAAATAAATTGCTTCTGAAACATGCCTGGAAGCTTGGCATGGTGTTGAGTGTAGACCAGGGGGGAAAGAGTAAAGCATGAGTATTTGCCAGTTCTGTCACTGTGTAAGCCTTGCTGTGTTCGCATCCTGATGGTGTCTGCGGTTGTTCTCCACACCCCAGGGGGATACACTGGAATGAGAGAACGCATACAGATGGGCAACTAAATCGATTAAAGGAATGGAGCAGCTGCTTTACCATAAGGGTTACCATAAGGCAACAGCAAGACTGGTGTTCGACAAGTCACTATGAACTAGAAGGCACTCACCAGAAGATTGATTTGGGACAGATGAGGGTTCCCCCCCCCCCCCCAGTCACTCTTTAAAGGCTCAGACACACTCACACACACATTCCAGTTGCTTGCTCCTGCAAGACGTGATGGTGGCAGAGTGAATATGACAACATGAACAACTGGTCCATACCAGATATTAACAGAAATAAATATGGATGTACCCTTTAGTATCCCTGACGTAACGATTGTGGATGTTGGAAGGCCACAAGAAGACAACTCTACAGGCAATGACCAGGTTGGTATGCTCTGTGGTCTTCTTCAAGGACAGCGTGGGGCTAGGTGCCTTCCAAACCGAGCCAGAGGGCAGCTCACGCTGTACTTGAAATTGCAGTTTGAAACACCCAGGGGGTCAGACTGGAGGGGCACCTAGCCCAGCAAGTTTCTGTGAGAAATGTGTACGTGCTAGATCTACTTCAAATCATGAGAGCGGGGGAGGTTGCATCTAACTGCATTTGCCTTTAACTGCATCACTAGTTACAATTAAAGGTCTGCAGCCAACTGCTCCTCTCCCCTTTCCACACTCACACTGTACAATTGCTACGATAATCATAAATGCCTCAGCTGTGACTTGGTAACGAGATCTGTGACCGTAGGAGTTGCCATTTCCACAAAGTAGATGACTCAGTCCCTCTCATGGGACTGTATATTTATATATTCCTCCCTGAATATACCAAAACCTTTCAATTTTACTTCTACCTAATATGGTGCTGTTTCTATTCTGTATCTCTAACCCCAGCCCCTATCTTGCCAGGTCCCTGTACTCAATTGCAACACGAATATATTGTTTTCAGTTTTGGG